TACCAAAAATAATTATAAATTGACTCAAAAACTTCTCTACTTTCATATCTTGCACGGTATTTTCTGATTCAGCGGACAATTTTGCATATGAATTGTCTATTAAATATCCGGGAATCAAATTGCTTTGGACAACAGTTACCTATTAGTGGCTGCTTTTTCGCCATGAGAATTAGTCATTTTTGATTAATTCATTTTAAAAGAGTATGTTCCAAATAAACTATTTGCCGGATGATTTCCTTAGATACTAATGTCAAGACAATAGTATCCATGGAAGTTATCCGTCAAATGGTTTATTTGGAAATTAAGTAACAATTGAAATATCGGCCCTAGGTAAATGGAAAATGTCAGGGTATTAATATTATTGAACCTGTTACTTTTCATGAAAGTCTGGGCGTTTATGAATATTTTTGTTAATCAAATTAGGATAATTATGTTTTTTTTTATTAAAGTCGAAAATCCATAAAATTTTATTCAATCAAAATTATAAAATGTATTCATAAGTTCAGTTTTTTTCTTTATTTTTTATTTTTAATTTTCTATGAATGGTTAAGGAATTTAAAATACTTGCCTAGTATAAAGTTTAATTTTGTTTTTGTTTTATAGATTTAGTATTTTTATTAAAAATAGATTTTTAATTCTTTAGACTAATGTTAATGACAATTTTCATTGCGTATTTTATTTTTTTGAGACTCTTTAATAAATAAATTCAGCCTTGCAGAAAAATATTAGGAACCACTTTTTTATAATGATTTAATTTTCCTTAAATTATTCTAAAATTACAATATTAATTAATTCATTTTGAATAGCTTTTACTTGGTAATTTTAATTTTTACTTTTTATAAATTTTCAAAAAAAAAACCGGCATGTAAACACGCAACATACCGTCTTATCTTAACGTCACGCTGCTTTATTAATTTTTGATTTTAGAAAAAAAGTTGTTTCAAATGACTTACCGATTGATATACTAGAGTTATTAAAGTGTTTTTCATAACACCCTATATATTATTCTTATAAATTATATAATTTATATATTTTAATAAATATTTGTTTCAAATTTAGTTGGTTTTACTTACCCTTGTCCCCTTTTCTGGTATAGCCTGTATTAATTTTTTAAATAATTTGATAATATTTTATAGTAATCCCTAATGAAATAGTAAAAAGAATATAATAACAACATATATTATAATGTACTAATAAAAATGTCGAGTATTTACTGAATGTTTTCGTCAAAATCAATTATTTTATTTATATTTTAAGAATATCACTAAATAACAAGATTTATAATAATTTATATTAAGTATGCTTCGGAAACTCTAAAGTTATATCTAATAAATTTTATTAATAATGTAAATATATTTTACACAGTGCCATACTGATACACGTTACCGTTCTTAAATCATGTATTTTTTATTAATAAAAACTGTAAATATTGTAGGAAATCCTGGTAAATGATCTGCTAGAATATCCTAGTAAAATAAGTCGTATATTCACTTTGTCACTATATGGGCCGGTTTTTCAATCGTTGGTTAAGTTTATCTTACGGTTAATTTTCTTAGGTACTATTGTGTTAACAACTTGGTTTTGTTCACCCCCCATTTTTCGTGTGTAGTTGGCCGATTTTTCTGAATTTCCCGGGCCGGTCTGATATAGCCAGCACGCCCCTGATACTATCCAATTCAATTTGGCTAATATGAAAACCAAAATTTCTAGTAACACAAAATAGCCAATCTTTAACTAGTTTGTAAACTAAACAACTAATTCTCTGGCTATTGCCCAATGGGGCGGGGCCTGTTGTTGAGATTAACAAGGAAGCGTTAAAATTTTGACTATGATTCATTTTAAAAACGTTAAAATGCACAAAACAAATCCGGTTAAGCCGGCAAAACGAAAAACAATGCCGTAACCTCACTTTTTTTATAAATTAGCCAGAGAATTGGTTGGTTAGTTTACAAACTAGCTAAAGCTTGGCTATTTTGTGTTACTAGAAATTTTGGTTTTCATATTAGCCAAACTGTATATATATATATATATATGTATATATATATCACAGGTCTGTGATATATATGGTTTCGCCTTGTTTTCAACATGGTCTGTTATATCTTGCAGTGTTGCAATGATTTTTAGTATTTTTAGTAAGATATAGAACAGACCTTGTGTGGATTGTTGGTTTCGCTTTATTTGACGCTGTCAGAGTGACATTTTCAGTAATTTATCTTTTGATCTGTGGTTTCAGTTAGTGAGATGCCACATTTTTAAATTTAAAAGTGTGCTGGTTTATGCTCAAACAGTGAATTTTGCAAGTGTGCTCCCAAAGAACCAAAGATATTGCATGGAGATTGAATATCCATCAATCGAATGTTGTTGTATAGTAAAACGGTAAAATGAGACTTAATATAAAAGGTCAAGGCCGTAACAAATACATCGTCTGAGTATAACCGATGTTAAGGAATTTAATTTTTAAGAAATCTTGCACTAACAGCTCCGTCTTTAAAAAATTAATTACTAAATGCAAGCCAACTAATTACTAAATACAAGCCAAGTCAATGTTTCCAAGACGTAAAGGCAGGATAACATTTCGCATAATTTAATATTGCACTTAATCTTAGCATTACCATTAAAGACCTTTTGCGCAGTATGCCTAGGAGGATGCAGGCGATCGCCAAAGCTATAGGAGGAAAACTAAGCCAAGTAATTACTAAATACAAGCCAAGTCCATGTTTCCAAGACGTCCTTGGCTTCTCCAAGGTCACAAAGTCGAACGGTACAAATGTATTGCAAGAGCACATGTTAACTGTAATAAACGTCAATCGAAAAAATATATTTTTACAGACAAAACAAGAATATAATTATGGAAGCCTGATGTACGTAGTCGAGTATAAAGAAGGTCAGGATAACATTTCTCATAATTTAATGTTGCACCTAATCTTAGCATTGGTGGCGTTGCCATTATGCTATGGGTTGGCATTAGTTGGGAGAGTCTCACGGAGCTCAGTTAGCTAAATTTAAGGATGAATGCTGACTGGTACATACGCAACATCCTGTGCCCATGCCGGAAGAAAAGTAATTCAGTACCTTAAGGATGTCGGGATTGTAAGCTACAGTGGCCACCCTTGCCCTGACGCAAATTAGAACATATATGGGACACCCTGAAAAGAAATATACGATTGCACCTCTTATTTGTAGAATTATGGATTGCTGTACAGGAAGAATAAAATAGAATTCCGCAAGAAACCATTAAAGACCTCTTGCGCAGTATGCCTAGGAGGATGCAAGCGATCGCCAAAGCTATAGGAGGAAAAACTTAGTACAAAATTTTTATTATGTTTCCTTAAAATGATGTATCTTGTTGCTTTATCCTAATTAAATGTTTTAACTAAATTCTGTCTATTTCACTAATTCCTTTACGAATCTGGTGTAAAACACGCCAATAGGTGCGTTCATTTCGCCTGAGATCTCAGCTCACTTCAGTTAATGTGATATGAGATGTAGTGATCTGAGTAAGCATTAAAAAGAACGACACAATTGAAACGTGCAATCTGACGGCGAATACGTGAATAAGAGGCAACATAACCTATCACTGATATAATTATGTTCTGTCATATCCTTATGATTAAAATTTCGTGTTTTTCTATGTTTAAATTTGCGTTGAATTAAGCCTAATACGGAAATCTATAAATGGCACTACGATTTTCGTATTGTTCATTTTACGGGAGAAAGGAAGGAAGGAAATCTATAAATCAGGCTTTATGGATAATACCTTTATAATACCTTCCTGCACCCTCTGTGCATTTAGACATGTCATGTAATTTAGAGTATATATTAAAGACATTTAGACATGTCATGTAATTTAGAGTATATATTAAAGACGTTGCCCGATCTATATTACTTATTCTTTCCATATTTGGGTGACAAACAAAAACAACAATTTTTTGATAAGAATATTAATTTTATGACAAAATAAAAATTTAAAAAAAAAACTTCACTTTGACATGTTTTGTTTAATTTTATTGTAAATAGTGTTTTTCTACTTTTGAAAAACAATTTTATTCGAATTCTATTTATATATTAAGTTTATAGCTAATTTAAAAAATTTAAGTTTTATTGCAAAAATTCACCTAAATAAGATTAGGTTATGTTATTTAAAAACAAATCAATAATTTCTTTATCCCCTCAACTTTATTTCCGACTTAATTCAAACTGATTCCCCTGCACAGCATGTGCAGTATCGGTGAGGGAGGGAGAAAAAATCTCAGCTCACTTTATGGTGAGTGAAGCAAAAAGAACGCGCACATTTGCAAATTTTACCGATGTGAGCTGAGATTAACTGAGATCTCAGGTGAAAAGAACGCACCAGAGATATGGACCTAACGCACCTAATGTAACAGATTTACCAACATAAATCATTTAAGTCGTAAAGAAAAAAAAAACCTTAAATAAAATATGCAACTTTTTGGCTTTGTATAAACATAATATTAAAATATAAAAAATCCTAAGATTTATAAAAGAATCATAGTTAAATACTTTTTATGTGTACCTTGGAAAGGCATACCTATAACAATTAACTTAAAAATTATCATTTAAAAACAAGTTTATAGTTTATTTCCCTTGGTATTCGTCTAGTCCGTTGATTATATAAAAAGTAATACTAGAACTAATCATGTCAAAGAGTGTCTTTTCCAATAAGAGATACTATAGTACTATATATAGTACTATATATAGTCTATTCATTTTACCAAATACCCAAAATAAACATTTTGAGCGTAATAGCCATGTGCTCGGTACGCTATTGGTAAATCGGCTACAAGACTTTTATGCATAACAGTGTGCAGTATAAAAGTCGCCAATAGCTTACCGAAAACGTGGCTATACTATAGACTTATTCATGTTAAAGGGTGTATTTTCCAATAAGGTTGTACATTTTACATACAGTTGTACACTGTACAAATTTATGTAAATGCTGTTAAATATGATATGTATCTAATATTTTGTTTATTTTTTAGCCCTTAAAGTAAAGCTGTTATTAAGACGACCGTTTGATCAGCTGGTTGAACAAGGAATCATGCCTCGTAAGTATCTCCTTGGTTGTCTAAAAGTAGTGTATTATTCCATTAAATTAGGTCTGAAAAAGTCAGAATAAGTTAGGGATCTAAAGATAATTTACATGTCAATTAAGCTTGCTTTATGCGCTTATGACGTGGCATACTCTAAAGGTCATACTGATTGACAAAATTAAAGCCCCACTTTATCAAATATCTATCTATCTATAAAATTTTAATAAATTAATCTACAAAGTTCTTCTTTGGATAATTTCTAGCATAAAGATTGCTTAACCAAAGTGGGTCACCATGCATGCAGTCATTTCTATAATGTCTATAATGTCAAAATAGCGAGTTTAATGATTTTTTTAATACACACATCAAACTCTTACGCTTACAAACAAATGAAAAATTAATGAGGAAGATCTGTCAATATACCCTGGGTGCTTTTAGGTGCATTGCAACCTCTAGTTTATCCCCAGATCTTGCTCCAATCACGCTATTTTCACGTCGGGTTAGTTTTTTAGGTTTTTTATGTTTCATATTTCCTAAATAAAATAAATGTTTATAGTTCGCACCAGGGAGCGACTGCCAATGTTCCTGATTAGTGATGGGAGTTCCGGGTCACTCTTTTGAAGCGGATCACTGGATCTCGATCACTTAAGTGAACCGGTTCAGCAAACGAAAAATTCTTTTTTCTTGCTGACACATGAAAATTTTGTTTTTTAGGTTGAAAAAAAAATTTCCCTTTTAGCCCTTAATTTTGATTCTAAGTACTTCCTTTTTAATTTTGTAATTTTTCCATATAAAAAGCATGTATTTTTAATCATTTTTACTTTAAATTTCTATATTTTGGCCGGGTTTTGAATTATAATTTTTATAACCATAATTTTCTGCATAGTATTCACGGTTTTTGGAAGGCCCTGCATCAATTTTGTTTTTGATTTATTTACGTTGATTGTAGTAGCTCCAAAAGTCGTTTTTTCACTTTTTCTCACATATTTTTGAGAAAATCGAGCGATTGACTGGTTTTACTGAAAAAGTTCAAATGAAAAAGTTGTAGGAAATTTAATTTTTGACAAAAACGGTTCCTAAGTTTATATCACTAAAGTGCTTTGTTTAAGAGATATAAGCAATTCAATAACCAAAAACAAAGAAAAAATAGGTTTTATTGAAATTTATGTATAATATAATATACATATATTTATACCTTATATCTCTAAGTACTTAAAATCAAATTTAAGGGCTAAAAGGGAAATTTTTTTCAACCTAAAAAACAAAATTTTCATGTGTCAGCAAGAAAAAAGAATTTTTCGTTTTAAATGAAACACCCTAATATATATATATACATATATATATATATATATATATATATATATTCATCTTACTAATATCCTAGCGTCCGTACATTAACAAATCCCTATTCTCCGAGCGTCCGGCTCCAACAGAGCGTCCGTATACGGACGCTCGGTTGTTTTGCTACAGAAACGGCCTATAGGATACCGTAACTGTTTAAAGAACACATTTTGTCTGGACGCCCAGATAATAGTAAAACGGTTTTTTTGTATACATTTTGTATATTATTAGTTAAACGCGTTCACCGCTAGAGGCGGGAGTCGCGCAATACGTATATTCTTTAGGGAGTATATTTACTTTCAAATCGTCGATTTCTGGGCGTCCTTTCGGTTCGCGACCCTTGGCAACGCTGTATTCACAATAATTCACAGGATTTCTTTATTCGTAACGATTCGGTGCATTAAGAGTTACTTTTTAATTTATTGTATCTGTACGTTCTACGTTAGTGCCTTGTATTCTTACTATGTAATATATTATTATGTATTTTATTATTTATTTATTTCAATGTTAACTTGTCAAAAATATTTCTGTAAACATAATGTGGCCAATAAAGATTATTATTTTAAATGTTGAAAATTGTTGGGTCGCGTGTGGGGTTGGGTGTTGGGTTTGGTTGGTTTGTTTTAATTTTATTACTTTATTTGGTTTCCCACTTACCCGGCACTCGCCAATTTTTTTTTTTTTTTAAATGTTGAAGTGTTGGGTTGCGTGTGGGGTTGGATATTGGGTTTTGTTGGTTTATTTTAATTTTAATACTTTATTTATCATATATTTTATATTTTGTAATTTTTCCTTTGAGAATTTTTTGCCTTAAGAAATTTTTGTATCGAAGACATTTTTGCGAGAGAAATTTTTGCCATGAGAATTTATTCCTTGGTTATTTTTCCTTTGAGAAATTTTTACTGAGAAATTATTTTTGAGAAAATAAGACTGGGAGCCATAGTACACCCCATATATTTATATATATGGGGTGTTTTATTGAATATATATAAAATTTTTATTTTCTGAACCATACAGTTTCAATTTTTTTTTAGTAATCACACATTGTAGATATTACTTGGTACGAAATTTGTCATTTTATATCATTTTTGATAGGCCATAAAATGTTAAGTTAAAATAACATAAGGGAAAATGCGTCAAACGACGTCAAACTTGTCACATAATATTTAAATTAAGTGACGTGTTTCGTATAGTAGTTAGCTTATTATATCTACCACAATAACTAATTAAAAAAAATAATAATTTTAAAACACAATTTTATTCTGTACAGGGTTATCCTCTATAATGTCGCCCCCTTTTAAATTTTTTATTTTAGTTTCTCAAAAATTTTATAAGTATGGTTGTTACTGGAAAATACTTGCTACGTATAGAAAAAATTGGAAAGTTGATCAGTATACCTACAGGGAAAAACAAAAAGTAAATATTTTTTCAATGGATCACCCTATACATAAATTTATTTTCCGATCCCTTGTTGAATTCTAACTATAATTTATTTAATATACCATATACCTAAATTCAACCATTTCTAAAGTATTTAAATTATTTTTAAAATAATAAGTTAAAATAGTTTAGTCTTTTTCTGTCTCAGTACGGCATTTTTACCCACTTAACTATTAATATTGATATACTGTCACCATAGTTATTTATTTTTAATTAACATTTTGTTATCCTGAGGCTTCTTGATTTGTAACAATTTAAAAAAATATTTGATGATAACGTTTTAACTGCAAATATTTTAGAAACGGTTGAATTTAGGTATATGGTATGTTATATGAAATATGCTTTGAATTTCTTTCTAAAATTTCTAAATATTTTTTTTGGTATAGGAGGTAGGTATTACGAATTACATTTTGGAGCAATTAAATTTAAAGATACTATATTAAAATAAAATTGTCAAAAATAACTAATTATAAGTCATATTTGACTAATTGTCATAGCGAAAAAGTAGTCACTAATAATTAGTCAAATTCTACTGAATGAAATAGACAAATTAGTAGATTACAATTTAAAAAAATTCTAACCCAGCCGGGGTTTGAACTCGGGTCTGTCGCTTTTCAAGCGGATGTCGCTTTTCAAGCGTATGTCAAACCATATTTTTTTTGGTATAGGAGGTATTACGAATTACATTTTGGAGCAATTAAATTTAAAGATACTATATTAAAATAAAATTGTCAAAAATAACTAATTATAAGTCATATTTGACTAATTGTCATAGCGAAAAAGTAGTCACTAATAATTAGTCAAATTCTACTGAATGAAATAGACAAATTAGTAGATTACAATTTAAAAAAATTCTAACCCAGCCGGGGTTTGAACTCGGGTCTGTCGCTTTTCAAGCGGATGTCAAACCAATGAGCCATCAGTCACTTTTATAAAAATAGTTTTATCTGTCTATAAATATTGTGCATATTTTAAAGTTTAATATATGTTTGTGTTGCTGTTTTGAGCTAAACTTTTTATATCTTTGTTTGTTTTTAAGGGTCATTTAACCATGGAGCCTATATGCATTTAACTCAAACAATAATTTGTTGTTGGCCGCAAACGATTGAAGAAATTAGTTAAATTTAACTCTCAGAAATAGTCAAAGGGGGTGACTTATCTTAAATTGGTCAAACTTTAACTATTTAAGTAGTTAAACATAACTATTTAAGTAGTTAAACATATTTTTTTTTAATGAAAACGACTATTTTATTATAATAACTATAGTTAAAAATGCTGGTAGGTACTAATTCAAATAGTAGAATTTCATATTTCATTTTAAGAGAGTAGGTACATGTTTTTTTCTAAAACCGAGTTAACGTTGTGTTTTATAAGTACTGGACAGAGCTGTTCCGAGTACAACAAAAAAGTACTTGAGTAAAAGTACAAAGTACAAAGAAAATAAAAAAGTACTTAAGAGTAAAGTACAAAGTACTTTTTCTAAAAACTTAACTTAAAATGTAATTTATGTCAGTATCTAGCAAAAAAAATTGTTAAAAGTTAAACCAAACAAAATATCAGGTTTAGGTCACTTAAAAGTATTGGGTCATAAAACAATATTTTTAATTTAAAAAATTAGTAGAAATAAAATACATAAAAAATATTTATTTTAAAAACTAATTAGCTAATAATAAGTTCTGCGCAAACAAAATTTAAATTGATGTTTTCGAAAAAAGTTTAAGTGGTACACTGCAGTTTATTGACAAATTTGAAATTTTTAAAAATACAAATATTACAGATTTTATACCATTTTCAATTTTTATTTCTTTTACTAAAATAAAAAAATTAAAATCGTATAAGATCTGTAATACTTAATTTTTTTTAAATAATAAAATGTAACGATAAACTATAGTAAATAATAAATTGGAGCACTTAAGTTTAAATTATCGTTATTGGGGAAGAGGAAAAAATATATACCTTTTTTTAAACAATTTAAATTCTTCTTGAGCGAGGATTTATTCCGAATATTGCCGAACCGCTAAAGAATTATAATTATGGCGGTATATTTGAATATGTAGTGCCACTACAGTAGTGGTTATGTTAACTTAACAAGTACTCGAGTACAACAAAATTACTAAAATTTTTGGCATAGTCATGAAATACATCTCCGAGTTTCCATGTATTTATTTTGAAATCCGTTAAACACTTCCTTACTTTTTTAAATGTCATTTTTGACACATGTCATTAAAAATTGA